ATCACTCCGAGTCAGCAGCAGAACATTCGATCTTACCGGGGATACGGCAACTCTGCCGAGCTCGCTTACAGCCACCTGAAGAACCTGTACCAAGCAACAGACAGCGTGAACCAGAGTCGATTAATGGCGCAATTGACAAACGTCGAAATGAAACCTGGCCAAAACGGAATGGCGTATATCAGCCGCTGTCGCGAACTGCGCGACAAACTCCTTCGATGCGGAGGATCAATAGCCGAAGAAGCCTTCGTAACAGTCGTCATCGGTGGCCTCGGTCCGCAATGGCGTTCCACCCGAGCCATCCTTCGAGCTCACGGAAAAATCTCCGAAGCAGCGCTCTGTGCTGAAATTCACGCCGAGGAGCAAGATATGGACCTGCAAGAAGAACGACACAAGAGAAAAACGTCAGTTCCGGAGTTCGCGTTCCACACTCAGCGACGCTACAACAACAACCGACAACAACAGAAGCACGTACCTCCGTTCTGCCATATCTGCAAGACGTCAGGGCACCCGCGCACACACTGCCCGAATCGACAACAGTCAACGCCACAACAGCGACAGCTTCGACCTTCAAGCAGCCAAGTTGCTTCAACGCAAGCGAATCCTACGACCCAGGTCCAAGCTTCAACAACATCAACGGGACAACCTGCACAAGGCGCAAGAAACATCGTCAGTTGTATGGCAAGACTGACCGACTCCTGCATCACCGAATCACCACCTCATTACTCACCGGAAGAACAGCTTGACAACAGCACGCCCCGCCGCGAGTCACTGCAGCCGAACCCGACATACGCCGCTATCGCCCAGAGTGAGCCATCCGGGAAAGACACATGGTTCTTGGACAGTTGCTGCGGACAACACATGTGCTCCTCGGGTCGCTTCGTTCAACGGGAATACCAACTTCAACGCGAAGTCGTCATCACCGTCGCCAACAATCAGAACCTGCGCACACGACGACAAGGCGTAGTTCAACTTCAGTCACGGGAAACAAACGTCATACTGCAAATGACGAAGGAGACAGCACCACACAGGAATTCCGGCTGTTCCACGGAAAGGGCGGCCTCTACATCGGAAAGGCGATCCTCAAGAACAACGTCTTCGTTCTTGACTTCGTACCAGACCTTGGCACCGCTGACAGCGACGGCATCGTCAGCTTTGCTCCTTGGACACATCCTCCAGATCTTGACCCAGACTTCAGCCCCGGCGGCTTCTGGCACTCACACACCATTCCTGAAGCAGAGAGAACAAGGGCGTTAGCAACAATTCAACAAACATCAGCAGCAGCAGAGACAACATCGGCAGCAGCAGAGACAACATCAGCAGCAGCAGAGACAACATCAGCAGCAGCAGAGACAACATCAGCAGCAGCAGAGGCAACAACGCCAACAGCAGCAGCAACATCGACACCAATCGCCGGTCCTTCAACGGCACCAATCTCCATCGACGATTCGCCTCCGACACTCGCACGGCAGTTAACCCCGGCACCACGAGAAGTCCACCGAAGCGCTAACATCACCGCCGGTTTTTACTCAAACTCAGACATGTACAGACGCTCCCCCGGGCACCGCGCCAGCGAAGACATCTGGCACGCACGAATGGGACACCCAAGCAACACAACGTTAAACAACACAATAAGAGCAGGAGTGCTCGACAAAGACTCCCTACTACTGCACGACGGGAGAGAACTTCAACGAGTCAGAGGAACATGCTTCACATGTTCCGAAGCCGACCTACCGCATCAGCCGTTCGTACCTCATCACAACCCAAGCGCACCTGCATACACACCACTTGAGAAGGTATACAGCGACATCCTGTACAATCGCGCAACAGGGCAAGGAGCCCTCAATTACACCATCACCTTCATCGACGCCGCCACTCGATACGTCTGGCACCTCAACCTTCCAAGCCGCGATATGGCTTTCGAAGCCTTTGTCGCCTGGCTTCCAGTCGCAGAACGAGAATCGGGAGCCAAGCTGAAAAGCTTTCAGTCAGACGGGGGAGGAGAATACACCTCACAAAGGTTCAAGCAATACTTGGCGGAAAGAGGAATCAAGAAACTCATCTCCCTCCCCTACGCCCATCAACAGCAGGGTGTAGCAGAAAGGATGAACAGGACACTGCAGAACACCATGCGCAAACTGCTACGTGGCATGCGGCTACCCAACCACCAGTGGCCAGAGGCGATGGACCACGCTGTCATGCTGCACAACTTGCTGTCTTCGTCGTCACTCCCGAACAACGCATCACCGCACCTGTTGTGGACAGGAAAACTGGGCAGCACAAAAATGTTACGAGTTTTTGGGTGCATGGTACAGTACCGACCTCCAGCTGCACGAGCCGGCCGATTCTCCCAACGAGCACAATGGGGACTACACCTGGGCATCGAAAAGAACTACAACGCGTGGAAAATTTTCGACGTCCACTCAAAAGAAACAGTACCAGCACGCGATGTCATCTTCTACGAGCGACTCACCCTCGACTCCTACCTTGCCAACTTGGCAGAACAGCGAGACCTCACCAGTGGATTCCGTGGAGACCGAGCCTTCGCCTCGGCAGCCGACGAAGCTGACCTGGACGAACAGAACGTGGAGGGAGCCTCGGAAGCAGCCGGACCACTCCCTTACTGCTCCGTGGATATCCCAATGGACGAAGAAAACCCTCGCGAAAGCATCAACGCCGAAGTCTTCTACGATTTCGCCGACACCGGTTACGTTACACCTGCACGGGTCAACACCGACGAAGCAGAACGCATAGGACCGAATTTCTTACCGGACCCAGAGGACGGTGACGAAGCAGCTTATCCCGAGGACACCACACTCCCCCGCTACACACAGAGTGGACTGCAAATCCTCGGCCTCGTCACCGCAGTCCACGGAACGACACCTCCTAAGGAGCCTGCGACGGTTCAACAGGCTCTGGGGGGGGAACATAGGGAAAAATGGCGTGAAGCCATGGACAAAGAGCTAAAGGCACTAGAGGAGCGCAACACCTGGAAAGTCGTCCCTATCGGCGTAGCACGAAACAAGACAATACTCACCGGAAAGTGGGTCTTCCGTGTGAAAACAAAGGCTGACGGCACCATCGACAAGTTCAAAGCGCGCTGGGTCGTACGCGGTTTCGACCAGGAGCATGGACGGGACTTCACCGAAACGTTTGCTCCGGTTAGCCGCCATACCTCACTTCGCATCCTTCTTGCAATCGCCGCCATGAAGAAGAAAAAGCTGCGACTGATCGATGTCGCAAACGCATTTCTCTACGCACCTGTTGACGCAGAGATCTTCGTGGAGCTACCACACGGCTCCAGCACGAACTCCATGCACGTTTGCCAGCTGCTAAAATCACTTTACGGGATCAAACAGGCTCCGCGACTATGGCAACAGTACCTGCATGCACGTCTCATCTGCATCGGCTTTAAGCAACTCCCGCACGACCAGGGCATGTACCGGCTCACGAAGAACGACGACTACATCCTGCTAATCGTCTACGTAGACGACCTTCTCTATATTGGCTCCACCGACGGTATCACCACCTGGTTCGAAGGGGAGCTGCAACAAGACCTCACACTCACGGTTTCGTCTACTGTGACTCAGTACCTCGGCCTCAACATCCGAGAAGAAGAGGACGCAATCTACCTCAGCGCCGCAAAATACGCCGACACCATCGCCAAGCGCTTCAATCTCACACCAACCGCCATCTCCACGCCGTATCGCTACACGACAGGAAACAACAAGGGAAAATCTACTCTACTCAAGCCTGCCGGGATTCGCGACTACCAGAGAAAACTGGGATGTCTCCTCTTCGCAGCCGTCACCTGTCGCCCAGACCTATCCTACTCCGCAAGCCAACTCGCCACCTACCTCAAAAGACCCGAAGCAGAGCACCTAGCAGAGCTCGACCGCGCTCTTCACTACCTCGTCAGCACCCCGACGATCGGGCTAACCTATCACAAAAACGCAACTACACTGACCAAGTTAATCGGCTACGTCGACGCAGACCATGCTGGTGACTCAGACAACAGACGCTCGCGCACCGGCTACATCTACCGCTTGGAACCTATCGGCCCTATCTCCTGGCAGTCGAGTAAGCAAGAACTAATCGCCCTCTCATCTTCTGAGGCAGAATATATCGCACTCTGCTCAGCCACCAAAGAAGGACTTTATCTTCGCGAGCTGCTGGAAGAAGCAAAGTTAGCCGAGTTACCCAACTTCACCCTGTTCTGCGACAACCAGTCAGCAATTCGTATCGCCAACAAGAACGGCTTCGCGAACAGGACGAAACACATCGCCCTACGCTACTTCTTCGTGAAGGACGAGATCGAGAAAGGAAGACTTGAACTATCCTACTGTCCGACGTCCGAGATGGCAGCTGACTACTTGACCAAGAAACTCGGAAAGCAGAAGTTCGAATACTGCATGCTGCTGACTGGACAGGGCCACGTCATCAGCAGCGACACTCCAGAAGCGAAGGGGAGTGTTGGAAACAATAAATCCTAAGCGCCTCTGTCGTGTCGAAACACCGCACCAGAAGCGAAGCGAACTATATTGAAGTACACGCGAGTCAACCCTCGGAGGTTGAAAGAGGTTGCTGGAGGTTACGCGAAGGTCAAGCGACCTTTGACCTGACAAGTACAGCGCGACAGTTAAGGACACACAACTGACTCGTTACAGAGCAGTTGCCCGAGTCGTACTGTATCGAACCGCAACAGCAAATTAGTTACAATCGTATCCTTTCGTATTCCTTGTACTACTATATATTCTTGTATCTCTTTGTTATAATCAACTTACTTTGCTCTCACACACTAGTGCAAGGTGGTTCACAAGTCTTCATTAAACGCTTCCGCTATTACAATAGTCCTACCCCGAATTTACCCCTGCAAAAGATCCTAAGGGCTTTTCTCAGCCCAACATGGACAGGGTGGGGTGAGGGGATAGGACAGGGCGGGAGGAGGGGATAGGACAGGGTGGGAGGGAGGGATGGAGATACGAGGAAAAGGGGATGGGAAGTTAGAGGGCATGGCGGAAAGGGGTGGGGCGGAATGGGGTGGGGCAGATTGGGGAGATGGGGAAGGGGAGATGGGGGATGGGGAGAAGAGGGATGGGGAGCTTCGGGATGGGGAGATGAGGGATGGGGAGATTAGGGATGGGGAGATGGGGGATGGGGAGAGGAGGGAAGGGGAGATGGGGGATGGGGAGATGAGGGATGGGGAGATGACGGATGGGGAGGTGAGGGATGGGGAGGTGAGGGATGGGGAGATGAGGGATGGGGAGATGAGGGATGGGGAGATGAGGTATGGTAAGATGAGAGACTGGGAGGTCAAGCAACTGAGGGAACGGATGGGGAGGCGGGGATGGGGAGGGAAGGGATGGGGAGGGAAGGGATGGGGAGGGAAGGGATGGGGAGGGAAGGGATGGGGAGGGAAGGGATGGGGAGGGAAGGGATGGGGAGGGAAGGGATGGGGAGGGAAGGGATGGGGAGGGAAGGGATGGGGAGGGAAGGGATGGGGAGGGAAGGGATGGGGAGGGAAGGGATGGGGAGGGAAGGGATGGGGAGGGAAGGGATGGGGAGGGAAGGGATGGGGAGGGAAGGGATGGGGAGGGAAGGGATGGGGAGGGAAGGGATGGGGAGGGAAGGGATGGGGAGGGAAGGGATGGGGAGGGAAGGGATGGGGAGGGAGCATAGGCGACGGAGGGGAATGAGAGGATACGAGGGGCAGGTGGTGAGCGTGGGCGACGGAGGGAAGTGAGCGTGGGTTTCGGATGAGGGGAGAGCGTGCGCGGCGGGGAGGAGTGAGCGTGGGCGACGAGAGGGAAATCGCGTGGCCGAGCGAGGGGGGTGAGTAATGTTCTCCGCTCAAGGGGATTGAGCAAGTGCTTCAGAAGGGACCGTCGCGACAGGAGGGTAGTGATTGAACGCGGCCGGAGGGGGAGAGCGTGGGCGGCGGAAGGACAGTCGTCGCGCGCGACGATCGAAAGTGCGTGCGGACGGAGCTGGGGTGAGGCGGAGAGGGTGAGGCGGCGATGGATGGGGCGGAGGGGGTGAGGCGGAGATGGGTGAGGCGGAGATGGGTGAGGCGGAGATGGGTGCGGCGGAGATGGGTGAGGCGGAGATGCGGGAGGTAGTGTGCGACGGGAGGGATTGCGCAAAGGCGATGGAATGGGAGTGAGCGTAGGCGAAGGGATGGAGTGACCGTGGGCGACGAAAGTGACTGATCGTGGGCGACGGAACGTTTGACGTAAGTGCGATGGGAAGGGAGTGAGCGTGGGCGACGGGGCCGTCTTGAGCATGGGCAGTGGAATGGAGTGCGCGAGGGCGACGGAAGGGTGTGTGCGTGCTTTTTCGAGAGAAAATGGGCGACGGGAAGGAGTTCTCTTCCGCGTTTCTTTAGCTAGGTTTCCGTAGGGAAACGTGGAAACGTGACCTGGGCCCACGTTTGGCAAAAGCGACGGATTGCAAGAATGGAGTCACGGTGCTAAAGCCGTATGGCGAAATTTTCAGACATGCGCTGGCATGCGCTGGTTTGTTTGGAAGCCTAGATATTCTAAGCTATGGCTGTCGCTCTAGCTGCTCAGACTGGGCATTTTCTGTCGACCTGAATTACAAGACAGAGTTTGGTGTGCACACCACAGCTAGAGGGTTGCGCAGGAACCGAGCGACCCTTCCTTGTGCTGCCTGCGACTTCTCTCACGTTTTGCAGGTGGAGACCTGGTAACCACCCTGGTTCGGGAGGGGAGGTGTTGGTCCGGAAGGTGAGGTGTTAACACCTCCCAACTTTTTTTGTAATTCAGGCTGCGGGTTTTAAAGAAATGCGGCGAGGAGTTCATGAGATGTGAATCCATAAGGGGCTTTACTGGCAACCTAGCAGCGAAAGCCACACCCTTTTGTAAGTGCCGGGATGAAGTCACTGATTCAAAACGTTCCAAAGGACATGCCTAACTGGAATGGCATGAACCAAAATCACGAGAACCTCCACACCGAATTCAAATGCGGAAGTTCCTTTGCGATGCTTTGCACCACAACGGTATGATTTTGACAACGTAAAACAGAAGTCACGAGGACCTCCGTAACGAGTTCAGGCTCGAAATCTTGAACTCCAATTTAGCTGTCTCCTCGATAATCTCCCACCAGCCACGCTGAATTCACGGAGCTTTGGCTGCTCGTTTGGCCGCTGCCATACCACGACCCCAGACAACTCATCGGGCAGTGCTACGCCGCGTGTGTTTCTCGCTCTCGCTTGCCCGCCAGGCATTGCCAAGCCTGGATTAGGTTTTTGTTCTTTTCCGCGTAGAAGATGAAGCTCTGCGGGTGTGCGCTGCATTCACCCCGCCACGAGCCGCCGGATCTCTCGCAAGGAGGCTCGGCATTTTCCGGAGGCAAAATTATCGAGTTTAAAGAGGGCAGCGGAACGCAAAATCGTTGCGGCGCTTTTGCCCGAAACCCTCGCGGGAGTCCACTAGCCAACCAATTCGTTTTAAAGAATGCCCTAGTTGATTATTTTGACCCGGGCAGCATCCCAGCACAGAGCTCAGCAATCCCCGGAGCATCCCAGTTCGACAGCGCTTCCAGGAGGCTCTCGTTCCTCCCATTTCGTTCCCCCTCGGCTGCTCCTCCCCACAACCCTCCCTCTCCCTCGTCTTCATATTCTCGATACCACCAGCTAGTCATTTTCATAGCATTGTTTTCAGTTTTCCAGCAACCTCGTCATTCTTTCTACAATTCCCTACCGTAGCTCCGCAGTAGCGTCTGTCTTACCGTTCTCATTTTCAAAGCAGGAATGGCTGATTATTCTTCTGATTATCCAACTTTCCATGAAGCCCTAGCCTTCTTTAAAAACAGGGAAGCACTCATGCAGTCGCCGCTTCTTGTTCCAGCCTCCGCATCTCCGTATCTGGCTGCAGCGGAAGAGGAGGAGCATCCCTGGAGCGAGGCTGCATGGGAGTCTTCTCTTGCTGCAGAGGAGTCTTCTGGGGCTCCGGAAGGCTCCCCTGTGACGGCAGAGACGCCTTACGAGGCTGCAGGGTGCTTCTCTGAAGCCTCACAAAATGTTTCTGGTGCAGCTGCAGGCCTCTCCCAGCCTGCAGTGGTTCCTCTTGAGGCTGCAGAGGACTGCAGCAGCAGCTGCAGCGACCCGGCTTTGTCAAACAAGGCTAGCGTCTCTCGATTCGGATTCTACAGCAGTGATTCCCACGTGGACTGCAGCAGCAAGTTCAGTTTTGCTTTGACCTGGGCTCAAGTCACAAAAGAGGTGCTGACTGGTGTTTACAACACCTTCAAAAATGGCAGAAATGGTGGGTCCAAAGAATCGGGAGAAACTGCAGCAGCAGTGTCTACAGCAGGGACTGCAGCGGTGGGTGGTGCAGTGGGTCCCACTGCAAGCTCAGCTCTTTCGGTTGCAAGCAAGGGATCAGGCTCGAGAATGGAAACAGACAGGCTGAGAGAGCTGCCTTCCCGCATCCCCAAGCCAAGCAAGGGCAGTGCAGGAGGTGCTGTGAAGCGTGGGACGAGGCCGGCAGCAGCAAGTGCATGCCTGCCGCCGTCCCTCATTCCCAAACCACGGTCCGCCAAGACTGCAGCTACTGCGGTGGAAACTCTGGGGACGGCCAATGCTGTGGTAACCCGTCCTGTAGCCACAGCAAGCAGCAGCACAAGGCAGCAGCAGGAGAGGAGGAATGGATGTGAGGAATGCAGAGGGAGGCGGCCTATCAGGGCAAATAAGGCAACTGCAGCAGCAGCAGCAGCAGCAGCAAGGCCTCCTTGGAGGCCGTGAGGGGTGCAGTGTGTGGTGGAGAGTGGGAGGGTGGTGCTGATTGGAGCGAGCAGAGAGCAGCCAAGGTACAGCTGGGGAAGGCACGGGGTGGTGGACAGTGGCGAGGAAGGCGGCAACACTTTTTGCACCCTGCTGGTCAGGGTGTTGTAGCAACTGGATGGTGGATTGGAGCATGGAGGCTGGATTGTGAGAGGCATTTATATGGCTGACATTGCTCGCCTGTTCCAAGGGATGATGCTGGGCCATGTGATGACCGAGGCTTGTCCAGGGATGGTGCTGCTGGTAGTGAGCTGCGTAGCTGGTTAGTATAGGTTCTTCAAGTGTAGTTATTGTAGTTATCAATGTATCTGCATGCATGCTATTTGTATACACTTTTGGTGCAAACCATGTTGGCAGAACAGAAACACATACGTACATGGGTAACACTTATGGTAGTATCGGAAAACTGAAAACAATCGGGGTACCAGTTCTATGTGTACGTAACACATGGCATATAGTATTCATTATCTTTGACATTAGATAAATATGGAAACACCATTTCACAACAAAAAAAAAGTGGCACAATGATTGCTGGGCGGCTGGAGGTGATGATAGCGGTGGTGGTGGTAACGGCGACTGGGGTTTGATGGAGACCAGCCGTGATAGTGACACTGATACGAGGCTAGTTTGTGTTGCGGCCACCCAGGTGGGTGGAGTGTGAGGAGCAAGGAGAGCTGCACAGCTGCAGGGTAAGAGAGAGCTGCCCACACGGCGCAGAGAGGGGCAGACGTACAACAGCGCGGCAGACAAGGGCCAGTGACGAGGGCTGTGCAGGACAACATGCGCAGGCTGGTGGGGCCTACAGAGCAGTCGGGGTAAAAACGGTGCGCCGTGGCGGTGCCAACCGTAGACCCTCAGGTGCTTCATGCACGGCACTGCTCTCCCACATGGCTGGCTGGCACCATGCTGTTGCTGCATGTGGCGCTCTGGAGCGACATGGTTCTCAGTGAAAGGGTGTATGAGCGAGGTAGCGAGGCAGTTTGTGATTTTGGCGTGTGCGAGGCAGGTGGCAACAAAGCAGCGACATCGGAGCAGCAGCAGAAGAGAAGCAGCAGAAGAGACGCAGCAGGTTCAGGCAGCTTCAGAGAGCGCGGAAGACAATACAGCGCCGATTCTGATGGTGATGAGGAAGAGGCATGCCGCACACAGAGAGACATGCCGCACACAGAGAGACATGCCGCACACACCATACAGACACACATGCAGCAGAAACACAGCCACAGGCACACACATAGAATGCATGCATTGTCGGAGATGGTGAGAGAGAGCGGCAGACACACGGGTGCGACAAGGTGAGTCAATCAAGCAGCTTGAAAGACGAGTGCGAGGATGAAAGACAACAATCAATCAACCCACCCTGTGGTGCAGACTTGCAGAGCAGGCAGTGTGTGCAGAGGCAGCTGAGACAGTTGACAGCAAGACAGCCCGATGGTCAGGGGGGGTGACAGCATGGGTCGTGAGGGGAGTAGCGGCAGCGTATGAGCGGAGGGGGCAACGGGGGGCACTGACCTCAGGGAACTCCGCATTGCCATCGCCACGGACCAATCGCGTCATGCCACGCGGGCCACTGCCGACTTTGACCATCATCTGAGCGAACTCGAGTGTGAAGCATGCCCCGCTGTATTGCTGCCGGCGCCGCACAAAACACAGGCACGAGACACACACGCCCATGCAGGGGGGGACGATTGGAGAGAGTTAGGGCAGGCGAAGTTGCTTCATTTGACTGGCATGGCTCACATGGGTGGCATGGGTGGCATGGGTGGCATGGGTGGCATGGGTGGCATGGGTGGCATGGGTGGCATGGGTGGCATGGGTGGCATGGGTGGCATGGGTGGCATGGGTGGCATGGGTGGCATGGGTGGCATGGGTGGCATGGGTGGCATGGGTGGCATGGGTGGCATGGGTGGCATGGGTGGCATGGGTGGCATGGGTGGCATGGGTGGCATGGGTGGCATGGGTGGCATGGGTGGCATGGGTGGCATGAGTGTGACTCACAGCGAGCTGCAGCAGCGAGAGGGCCTTGCCGGCGATGCGTACGCCAGTGCTGGAGGCAGATGGGGAGAGCAAGGAGAAGGTGGGACACGACGGCAGGCGCAGCTGCACTCATGGTACAAGAAGGGCCGGCGCCACGCAGGGCGGGGGGAGAGAGGGAGGCAGAGTAAGTGAGGAGGGTCGTAAGAGATTAGTTGGCGCGGAGGGTGGAGAGTACGAGGGTGATGGAGCAAGAGTGAGGAGAGGAGTGCGGAAATCGAGATGTGGGAAAAAGGTGTGTGGGGAAGAGGTGTGAGGGGAAGAGGTGTGAGGGGAAGAGGTGGGAGGGGAAGAGGGAGTGCAGGGAGGAATGCGCAATGTGAGAATGTGATGGGGGGCAGCATGGCGATGGGGGGATGGTGGTGCGATGTGGAACGGGAAAGGCAAGGAGGCGAGGGCGACTGACAGCAAGCGTGTTGAGGGCGCGGCAGGTCTGCAGGGATGCCGACACCACGGGGCGACTGCCCGCCCTGCCATGCACAACATGCCATGCCATGCCATGCCATGCCATGCCATGCGCAACATGCACGTGGGGTGGGGGGCACAGGGGCGACAACACGGCGAGTGTGCGAGTGAGCGAGAGGGCCAGTGAGTGTGTATGCGTGTGGATGAGTGCATGTTAGTGTGAGAGAGAGTGTGAGAAAGTCCGAGAGTGTGTGCATGAGGATGTGTAAGAGAGAGGTGTGTGCATGAGGATGTGTAAGAGAGAGGTGTGTGCATGAGGATGTGTAAGAGAGAGGTGTGTGCATGAGGATGTGTAAGAGAGAGGTGTGTGCATGAGGATGTGTAAGAGAGAGGTGTGTGCATGAGGATGTGTAACAGAGAGGTGTGTGCATGAGGATGTGTAAGAGAGAGGTGTGTGCATGAGGATGTGTAAGAGAGAGGTGTGTGCATGAGGATGTGTAACAGAGAGGTGTGTGCATGAGGATGTGTAACAGAGAGGTGTGTGCATGAGGATGTGTAAGAGAGGGGTGTGTGCATGAGGATGTGTAACAGAGAGGTGTGTGCATGAGGATGTGTAACAGAGAGGTGTGTGCATGAGGATGTGTAACAGAGAGGTGTGTGCACGCGTGCGTTTACGCGAGCGAGGGGAGGAGAGGAGGGGCGCGCAAGGGGGACGCGGAGAGGAGGGGCGCGCGAGGGGGACGCGGAGAGGAGGGGCGCGCGAGGTGGAGAGGGAGAGGCGGGCGGACTTGTGGAGGATGGCGGCGGAGATGGGCTGGTCGGGGCGCATGGCGACGAGCGGCAAGATGGGCGTCAGCGACGCTGACCGGTTGAACACAAAGTCGCACGCCTGGGGCCGCGCGCAGGGGCGCACAGGGGCGCACGGGCGTATAGGGGCGCATGGGGATAGGGGGATTGAAACACGGCAGGTGAGGTATAGGGAGGTGGAAATGTCATGTGCCATGGCGGCATGTGCGAGCGCGAGGCCATGCGACAAGGGCTGTCAAGGCATGCGACAAGGGCTGTCAAGGCATGCGACAAGGGCTGTCAAGGCATGCGACAAGGGCTGTCAAGGCATGCGACAAGGGCTGTAAAGGCATGCGACAAGGGCTGTCAAGGCATGCGACACGGGCTGTCAAGGCATGCGACATGTGCACGTGCGTGCAGATGAACGCGCGACCACGCGCAGGGGAGCACACGGGCTCAATGGGACCCGCTCGCATGCCCATGCCCATGCCCATGCCCATGCCCATGCCCATGCCCATGCCCATGCCCTGCGCGCCCACTGCTCGCCCCCGTTCCTCGCTCGCATGCCCACCCTCGCCGCTCGTATGCTGTTGACCTCCACACTGCACCAATGTACCTTGGTGGCGAAGTACCTTGGTGGCGAAGTACCTTGGTGGCGAAGTAACACGACAAGGGTTGAAGCCCGATGCCCTTCACAGGGCCGCCTTTATTTCCCCCCTTGTTCCCCCCACCATTTCCGCCCCCCTTGTTCCCCCCGCCGTTGTTCCCCCCGCCGTTGTTTCCTCCCCCTTTGTTCCCCCCACCCTTGTTTCCGCCCCCTTTGCTCTTCTCCACGCCAATCGGCGGCAGGTGCACTTTAAAGCCGAGCGGTCGCCGCGCGGCGCATGGGAGCGGCGAGGCGAGCGCGAGCAGCGCGAGCAGCGCGACGACGACGCTGGCTGCTCGCAGGCTGAATCGCTGCGACGGGCTGAAGCTCGCGACGCCGTGCGACAAGTAGAACCGCGAGCGCGCGACTAACGAGTGGTTTCTAGGCGGTGGCGGGGAGCGCGGCATGCTGGCGGTGTGGCCCTCGCGATGGACATGGCTGCGAAGGCGTTGAGCGACCGTCCACTGTCGTGCGACGAGCATCAGCGACGGCGGTGCGACGATGGAGCTGTCGGCATGGGAAAGGATGGGCGTGGTGAGCAGCGAGGGGCGCGCATGGGCTGGACAGGGCGAGCAGAGCACACGGCGAGGGCGCGACGCTAAAGCACTACTCGAACGGACTGGCGGTGCACGAGATGTTTAGGGTGAGGTGGGACGCTAAGGTGAAGTGGGACGCTAAGGCACTCTTCTCGTCAAGCAGCTCTTGGACTCCATTAGGCTTCCACGCTGGTCGACTGACGTATAGGACGTGTTGCTTCGAGGGTAAAATCAGGCATGCGTGGGCGGCGGCGAGAGTGGTGCGAGTCAACTTATTGGGCTGCATTCACCGTCTATTACGGCTAGCAAGCAACGCTGCGAAATATCCCGCTCCGTTAATCAGCACAGCGCTAAACGACACTGGAGGGAAGGATACCAGATTGGGAGGAATGGGGAGTGTCGGTCAGAAAGTACAAGGCATCGCGTGCGTCTGCCTGGGAGGTCGCGCGTCAGCCTTCCCCGTGACAGACAACCCCTTCGTTTCGCCACTCTCACTCTGTTGCCCTTTTTTTCTGAAGGCTGCCAAGGTTGGGCAGATGGGCGGAAACGCACGCAGCCAACAGGAAGTGGAAGCGCGCCAATCAGAGAGGCGAAAGCGACGACGACGTTACGACATCTCGTCTATTGGGGTGGTTGCTTTTGGTGCCTTATGGCGAGAAGGACGGTCTGGCTGTAACCGAATATACGAGTACGACTGGCTTCGCTCTGTCGCACAAAAAGGCAGCTGCCCTCGTGAAACTCCTTCCCGATACAACACTTCCCCATCTCCTCCCCCCCCGCTTCACCACATGGTCGGCTGGATGATGGAGAGCCAAGAGGTAAGGACGGATGCGCCGAAGGGTCGGCTGCAGGGCTGCCGCCGACCTCATTTCGCCCCCCTGCCCGACTGCCCCCCCCTCATTCCTTCCCCTCCCCTCCCCCCTCCCCTCGCTTTCACCGTTTCTTTCCTCTCCCCACGTTTCTCTTTGCCTGGACCGAAGCTCGTCAGTTTCGTCAGGTGTGTGCAGTTGTGGCGCGACTCGGTGTGCCGGGGATGTCCATATCGTTCAGGTTTTCACAACTGGAGGGAAAAAATCATTTTCCTTACTTCGCACCCTTGCTTATCGCGTAATCTACAGTCCCTGCCAACAGTACCCAACTGTTATGAGTTGTATTAAACATAAGACAATTACAGAGGCGAGCAATTATAGGGCGAAAACCATGCTAGGCGAGGGCCTCGGGACGTGCATGGGTTGGGAATGTCGTGATTGGTGAGGGGTGACTCGGAAGTGGTTTGGACCGAAACTGTAGGACGAACCCAACTGACGCGAAGTTATCGGGGTTATCATCGCTAAGGTAGATTCTAATGAATTCTAATCCATTGCAGTCTTCCACCTTCTAAACAAGGCCCCCCTTATACGTCACCGAGTCTTTCAGTCGCGTGAAAACTGCATAACTTCGGTTGAAGCCAGATCCGACAACTCGCATGCGTTGACTGTCGAGCTGACGTGTGGCTGACCCACTAACCTGGCGAATTTGAAAAGGTTGGAATATCAGCCGTCAACATTGATCGGACGATTGCGATCGCGGATGAATAAAAGCCATTCATGTAAAGGATTTGATTTGGATGGTAGAGATGAACGCGATGTTAGCGGAAATTCCTAACGCGATGTCAGAGGCCGGCGAACAAGAACTGTTGATATCGATGAATTTAATCGCAAATGTTCATCATGCTGCACGAGTCTAACAAACATGTCAGAAACGACCAAGGGGAATACAGTGCGAAAACACTTTCTCTCCCCCCCCCCTCCTTTGAAATGGGTTGCCCACCAAAACATGCACAGCTGCGCGGGTACGAAACTTCAACCATCCGTACCGCGGGGGTAGGTCAGAATGCCAAGTATTATGAATCCCGTCTGAATCTTAGGGTACATTCCTGTGTGGACATTTGTGTCTCAATCCTTTTGCGACGCGTAAAAACAGCATAAAACGTATTATGTCACAAACGGAATCGCCTTTTAGCGACCATTACTGTATTTTTCATTGGTCAGCGTGAAACGCGCTGACGTCGCGGACGAGTTGCAAATTGACCCGTCACTGGTAAAATGTCGCACGCGGTTCGAAATGTCAATGCACCTGAACACCCCCCAATGCCAATTTCGTGCGGGAAAAAAACCCGCGCGTCGAAACCACACCCCAGCCAGGCGTTTGAAGAAACGGGTGTACAGTCAATTCCGAAACCCAATCAAAAGCGCACAACTGTACATTTCGCCTGGTCGCCTAGTGTCGCAATACATTCCTTTTTTGTGACGCGAGGTTGACAAAATGTTACGACGCGACTCGGGAAAAGGGGGATTGAGACATTTGTGTCCACACAGGAATGTATCCTTAGCAGCCGATCTGTTTAAAATTTGCTGTTAGCTGCGAAGTCTCTCTGTTCTGACGCGATATAATTCTCCAGAATAAATTGTTTCGAAGTTCGTCGAAGGCAAATTCGTGTTTTGCAGATACTTGAAAATGAATCGTGGGAGAATATCTTCTTGTTCTTTTGTCACAACTATTGCTGCAGCATCCCCAGTAGTCTTGTTATGACGTGGGCCCAATCGAGTTTGATCGCGACTGATATGATCGGGTCGGATCTGATCGGGTTGCTTGTGATCGTAGTGCCCGAGCCGCCCGATCAGTGATGTTTTTCGAAGAAGGTTGTCAGCGCCTGCTCAGCAGGCGCGACACATTTGTCTAGCATTTTCGTCCCCATTCCAGCAAGATTGGCGACCAGACGTCACTTGACGAAAATCTTAGTTTCTTTGTCAGTGCAACAGTGTAACTAATCGCAAGCAATGTTGTGGGCCTCGATCACATGCAATCAGGTGATCGCATGTAATCGAGGAAAATCGGGTCTGATCGGGGTGAAAATTAGGTCTGATCGAGTTGGAGCGATCAGTTGATCGCGATCACCTGATTGCCCCCGATAGCCTGAAATTGGCTTACAGGCTTCCTGGAAGTTGTTGGTCGCGTGTGATCGAGGATGAAACTCGATTGGGCCCACGTCCTTAACATGACAGCAGAGCCGCTTTGTCGTTGGCGCGAATATGTTGACGCGTTGTCGGTAGCGGAAATTCGAACCCATCTCAGAATTACTTCTGTCGTGACTCCATATCGTTTTGGCGCGTCGTAAAAAAGGTCGCAAAAACAGCGAAGTCGTTGCAGCGCATTAGCGACATTCGGCAAGAAGGGCGAGATCATGTAACCGATCGATTGTCAATCTTGAAAAACTGCATCGAAAACTCAAACTCAGGTTGTGATTGTCAAAATAAGAGACTGGAATGACTGTACTAACAGAAGGATGGATACAAATAGGAAACCCTAATCCAGTGTACCCCCTAAGGTATCACCCACTACTGCCTACAATCATATAAACATATAATGTTTGACACACCCCCATAGGCAAAGTGGGGGAGACCTAGGGGTCACAAGACCAGTCAAGGCAAAGCAAGGCAACAACAAGCTCAGGGTGGATCTCGAGGATTCCACACAAATTCCGAGCACAAGCTAGTGGTCACAAGACCAGTTCACATGCAGGTTTATAACAGAGCAAGAGATACTGTGATCACAACCTAGCAAGAGTAAACATGCAGGTATAGATATATATAGTGATCACAGTACAAGCAAAGTCAAGAGGTAAGTAAGTGAGGTCCAGTAGGCACAAGGCCTAGTAGAGTGCAAAAGCGCTGATGGTCACGAGGCTGAAGCGCCTTGGTGAACACATCAGCAGTGTTGGCCTCAGTGGCCACGTAGCGAATACAAAGCTGACCGCACTGCTGCAGCTCACGAGCAAGGAAGTACCGCAGGGCGATGTGCTTCGTTCTGTGCTCCAGTCTGTGCTCCTCACACAAGGCAATGGCAGCCTTGTTGTCGACGTACAGGACTGGAGGAGAACGAGGCGGCTCTCCGAGGTCGGTCAGCAGGTAGGTCAGCCAGCGTAGCTCCTGGGCAGCCATGGCTGTAGCGTAGATCTCAGCCTCGCAACTGGAGCCGAGAACAGAAGAAGAGCGTGTAGAGCGCCAAGAAACTGAGCCAGAGCCAAGGCTGAAGGTGTAACCCTGAGACGACCGCTGAGTGGCCTGGTCGTCTGCCCAAGAAGCGTCTGAGTGCCCTGTGAGAACAACTCGGTCTCGTCCTCCAAGCACAAGCCCCATGCCCGACGTACTGCACAAGTAGCGCAACACCCTCTTAGCGGCATCCATGTGCTCCTTCCTGTGACGGCCAGGAGCGACATAGCGTGCAAGGATGCTAAGAGGGTATGCAAGGTCAGGTCGAGTGCAGGTCATCAGGTACATGAGGCAGCCCACAAGCTCTGGATACGGGCCACTCGGCTCTACGGACTCATCCGAAGGCAGAGCTGAGAGCGAGTGACCGGTAGGCAGAGGAGTGGACTGAGGCGAGGAGTACGTGAAGCCGAAGCGCTGGAGAACCTGCTGCACCATGTGTGACTGAGTCAGGGTGATGGTGCGCCGTGCTCTGTCCCGGGTGATCCGCAAGCCAAGATAGCTTGTCAGCTCACCCAGGTCTGTGCACGTGTGTCTCCTCTGCAGCTCCGACTTCACGTGGGCGAGTGCCGCGGTGTCAGCAGTGGCAAAGACCAAGTCGTCGACGTACACGAGGATGTAGAACGGCGGTAGCGAGGTGTCGGTGCGTAGAAACAGCGACGGGTCAGCAGTAGAAGGAGCGAACCCAAGAGCCGCAAGTGTCGTCCTCAGTGTGTCGTGCCACTCACGTGGCGCCTGGCGGAGACCGTAGACCGGCCGCTGAAGCCTCCACTGGGTGCCAGGAGGAACTGACCCAGTGAAGCCAGGGGGGCGGCGCAGCCAGATCTCCTCGTGCAGGCTGCCCTGCAAGAAAGCAGTGCTGAAGTCAAGAGAGTGAAGCTCGTAGTCACGGTGAGCGGCTATGTGCAGTAGCACCCGAAGAGTGGTCATCTTCGGGGTGGGGGAGAAGGTCTGAAAGAAGTCTACTCCCTCTCGCTGACTGAAGCCTCGAGCCACGTAGCGCGCCTTGAAGACAGGCGGAGAACCCGGCGGCCGCTTCACCCTGAAAATCCACATGCCACTGACGATGTTCGCCCCAGGAGGGGGAACCTCGTCGACGTAGGTGCGTGTGGACTTCCAGGAAGCCATCTCTGCGTCCATGGCTGTCTGCCACTGAGAGGAGTAGGGACCCGCCATCGCCTCAGCGTAAGAGCGTGGGGTCGGGATGTCTGGTGCATCCGGGTCTCCCTCAGGGGCAACTAGCAAGGACACGAGACGGGGCAAAGCAGCAGCAAGGCAGTGGAACTCCTCCTGTCTGTCCTCAAGGACGTCCGTGCCGAGGGCACACTCACCCCCGACGGACGGAGGACAGGTAGACGCAGACTCAGACTCAGCGACAAGGCTGGCAGCGTAGTCTAGGCGACAGCGAGCAGCAAAGTCAACCAACTCAGCGACCAGAGCAGACGCAGCAGAGGACTCAAAGGTCGGGTCAGTGACAACTGTAGCGAGGAGACGCGTAACAGTGGGACTGGCAGCACGACGGGAGTCAGACTCCGGGTCAGGAAGAGTAGGAAGAGAGGACGCAGGAGGAGACGGCAGCGGGACACGCTGCGGAGCAGTGGAGGGACGCAGAGTCATGTAGTGAGTGCCAGGGACAGGAGGAGGACGCTCACGTGGGACACGACGACCAGTGCGAGCAGTACGAACAGGCGACGCAGGACGAGACTCAGGCTCACGACGCTCTGTAAGACCTCCTGTGGGACCAGCGTAAGGAGAGGGAGCAGGGAGAGGCGAGGCAGGCGGTAACAGTGACTGCGGCTGGACAGGCAGAGGACACTCGACGGAGGGAGGAGGACTAGGAGGAGGAGCCTGACCAAGAACCTGCTGAAGGAGCGGTACGAAGTACGGTCGCGGCCGCGCAGCGTCTCCAGAAGCAGCAGGGACACCAGTGGCAGCCCCAACGCCCGAGTCCTCAGCACCAGCAGCAGCTCCAACGCCCGGGTCCACAGCACCAGTAGGAGCTCCAGCGCCCGAGTCCTCAGTACCAGCAGCAGCGCCACCGGTCGGGTCCTCAGCACCAGCAGCAGCTCCAACGCCCGGGTCCTCAGCACCAGCAGCAGGGCCACCGGTCAGGTCCTCAGCACCAGCAGCAGCGCCACCGGTCGGGTCCTCAGCACCAGCAGCAGCTCCAACGCCCGGGTCCTCAGCACCAGCAGCAGCTCCAGCGTCCGGGTCCTCAGCACCAGCAACAGCACCACCGCTCGGGTCCGCAGCACCAGGAGCACCACTACGAAGACTGCAGCGCCGCGTGTACCACTCGCGGATCACCTGAATGGGGGGGAGCTCCTGGGAAGGAGGGGAAGTACCGGGACGAGCTCCAGAAGCACCTCTCCGGAGGCGGCAGTACTCGAGATACCTCTCCTGCAGCTGCTGGGAGGAGAGAGCTCCTCCAGGTGGAGCACGCTCAGGCTCAGCACCCCCAGACTCAGCACCCCCAGACTCAGTACCCCCAGACTCAGCACGTCCAGACTCAGCACCCCCAGGCTCAGTACCTCCAGGCTCCGCACCTCCAGGCTCAGCACCCCCAGGCTCCGCACCCCCAGACTCAGCACTCCCAGGCTCAGCACCCCCAGACGCAGCACCCCCAGGCTCAGCACCCCCAGACGCAGCACCCCCAGGCTCAGCACCCCGAGCAGGACGAGAGTCAACAGCTACCTCAACAGGCTCACCCGGGTCTACCTGGGACACACCTGAGGGAGCGGCACCCTGAGGGGGGAGGGGGTCTGGTACCTCAGCACCTGGAGCGAGGAAGAGAGGCGGGGGGGGGAGCGGGGCAGTGCGGTAGGGGAAGAGGCGGTAGTAGGGGACGGACTCGTCAAAAGTGACGTCCTGAGAGGCCAGGACACGCCGCGAGGTGGGGTGGTAGAACTGCCAACCAGGGGCGTCCGGGACAAAGCCAAGGAAGACGCAGGGGACAGCGCGACGGGAGAGCTTGTCCGCGGACGTGTCGCAGACAAAAGCTCGGGATCCCCAGATCCGAAAACGCGACGCATCGCCAGTCTCTCCCGTCCAACGTAGTGTCGGAGAAGTCTCGGGCAAGGAGACACGGGGCCAGAGGTTGAGCTGATGCGCAGCGTATCGGACTGCAAACGGCCACAGAAAATGGGGGGCAGCTGCATGGCTCAAGGAGGTACGAGCGACCTCCATGACCAGACCAATGCGGCGCTCAGCAACCCCATTCTGCTGTGGAGAGTCCGGAAGCGTGTACGACTGCGCAATGCCCTCCTGCTGACAGAAGGCCTCCAATAGGCCAGAGGAGAACTCCCCACCTCTGTCAGAGTGCAGACGCAGGACAGGGAAGTCGGAGCGGAAACGCTCACGGAGCTGGAGACGAGATCTGCGGATCCAAGGGATCAAGACATCAGGGACGTCACCCTTGGCGCGCAAGGGGAAGACCGTGGTGTAGCGCGAGAAGTCGTCAACAAGAATCAGGAAGTACCTCTCCTGACCCTGACCACGGACGCGGGCTGGGCCCCACACGTCCATGTGGAGCGTCTGTAAGGGAGCAGTCGTCGAGGGAAAGGAGGAGGAGTGAGGAGCGGCGCGCTGCCGTCCCTCGACACAGGGAATACAGGGAGGAGCAGGCGAGTCGGGAAGGGGAGGGAGCACCCTGGGAAGACCAGCAACAAGGTCCCGCTGGTGCATGGCCCGAAGGCGCTGCACAGACGGGTGACCAAGGCGGTGGTGCCAAAGGACAGTCTCATGTGCCAGAGAGCGACACGAGCAGGGGGCGGACAGCTGACCTGACGCAGACGCAGACGCAGACGCAGCTACCTGAGGGGACACAGTGGTCAGTGTGTAAAGGTCCGACCCCGGCTCCCGAGTGAAGGTAGCCAGGTGGCGACCCGTCCGAGCACACGTGCAGTGTGTCACGCGCTCGTAGGCAGGGGTGAACTGGTGAACACCCCCGTCCTGGAGCGCACTACCTGCCACCAAGTTCGTAGAGAACGAGGGGAGGTAGAGACCTGACAGCGTGCCGGACGGGACCGCCGGACAAGGAAGGACAGTGGAGGAGGTTGCAATGACCGGACCCCCAGAGGGGTCAGCAAGGGAGACAGCAACTGGCCGAGCGAGGGGCTCAAGGACAGTGCGGTCACGAAAGAAAGAGCGAGAAGCACCGGAGTCCAGTGTGAAGGTGTGCAGTGCTGCAGTCGACTCAGTACCGGGGGGCACAGACGCACTAGCACCTAGGGCAGCAGCCTCACCAGGACCTGCGGGAGGGGACGCACTAGCACCTAGAGCGGCAGCCGGACTGGCCTGAATGCCCGGGTCGGGCGGAACACGCAAGTACTGAGCACCCTCTCCACTAATAGACATCGCATACATGGCAGTGAGAATAGCATCAAAGTCTAAAGCCCAAATATCAACGCCCCTCTTTTCCAGCTCAGGCCAGCGCGGCAGCTCAGTGGCAGTAGGAAACTGGGTGCGCCACGCGTCGGTAAGGCGGGCGAAGCAGCGCTGCGTGGGGTGCGGCCTCCCACACTGCTGGCCGCGGCGGTCACCTGTGCGAATGACGTACGTGCAGGTAAAGCCACGCTGCGCATACCACTCACGGGCGGCCTGAAGCGTCGGGGCGGACTGCTGACTCTGCCCTCCGCCAGTGCCCCCACGACTACCACTTCCTCCGCCTCCGCCCCGGCCACCTCCACCCCTGCCGCCACCACGACCACCTCCGCCTCCGCTGTCGCCTCCGCCCCTGCCACCACTCCCGCCGCTGCTGTCGCCTCCCCCACTACCGCCACTAGCCTCCTCAGCCGCGCCTCCACTCCCACCGCCTCCACCCCCACCTCCTCCGCCACCACCCCCACCCCTGCCCCCTTTGCCCCTGCGGCGCCCGCTCGAAGCAGACGCGGTCCCGACCTTCTCAGCACCAAGGAGGTCGACAGCAGCAGCAGAGGCGACAGAGGGGAGGAGGGGGGAAGGGGAACACCCCTCGAAGAACGGGGTGCGGGGGTCGCCACGAGAGGTGCCTACAGCGACGATGCTCGCCTCAGCTGCAAGCAGTTCCTTCTCGAGGAGGGCAACAGTGAGCTCAGTGGGGGAGCGAGAGAGGAAGTGGTCCCTGACTGTGCGCAGAGAGTCAGGGAGGCGGGTGACGATGTGGTAGAGAGTGATCCAGAGCGGGGGGGGGTTGCTAGTGAGAAACTCGGCAGGCATAGCAGCGCGAAAGCGGGCCTCACTAGTCTTAAGGTGGGTGATGAGGTCTGCGACAGTGTGAAAGGAGGCTAGGTCGGGGAACAGGTAGGGAAGAGTGAGGCGGCCTAGCGTAGCAGAAGCGGGTGAGGAGTAACGGGCAACTACAGCGGTGTAGAGGTCCCTAGCTGTCTTGCACTGGCCAAAGTGCTCGCGCTCATCTAACGGCAGGGAGTTGCGGATGGCAAAGCGAGCGTGAGCGTCACGAGTCTGCCACTGTGAGCGGGTAGTGCTGTCAGCATCAGTAGCAGGGGCAGGAGCATGGCCGAGGGCGTGGTCATACAGGGAGATATCCTCCTTGGCAGTGAGCTGCAGGAAGAGGTGCAGGTCATCAAGCCAAGTATCAAACTTCACTGGGCGGCCCTCAGTATCGAAAGATAGTACAGGCGGGGTAGCCATAGTAGCAGTAGGAGTAGCCGTAGCAGTAGCAGTAAGTGAGTCCTAAACGCAGTGGGCAGCGCGACAGGGGTAGGGCGGCTAGGTCCAGAGAAGTTGCTCAGTGCGGGCGGCGCGGCTCGGTTCTGGCTGCTCGGCTCGGCTCGGACTGGGCGGCTCGGTTCGGGCGGCCTGTTGCTGGCGGGGCCGCGGCTGTCGCGTGCGGTGCGGGTAGGGGCGGCGGGTACAGCCGCTTTGGGGCGGCGTAAGCGGGGCCGTAAGCGGGGCCGTAAGCGGGGCGCGCGCGACGGGGCCGTAAGCGGGGCCGTAAGCGGGTCGACGGGGCCGTAAGCGGGGCCGTAAGCGGGGCGCGCGCGACGGGGCCGTAAGCGGGGCCGTAAGCGGGTCGACGGGGCCGTAAGCGGGGCCGTAAGCGGGGCCGTAAGCGGGGCCGTAAGCGGGGCCGTAAGCGGGGCCGTAAGCGGGGCCGTAAGCGGGTCGACGGGGCCGTAAGCGGGGCCGTAAGCGGGTCGACGGGGCCGTAAGCGGGGCCGTAAGCGGGGCCGTAAGCGGGGGCCGTAAACGGGGCCGTAAGCGGGGCCGTAAGCGGGTCGACGGGGCCGTAAGCGGGGCCTTAAGCGAGGCCGTAAGCGGGGCCGTAAGCGGGGCCGTAAGCGGGGCCGTAAGCGGGGCCGTAAGCGGGTCGACGGGGCCTTAACGGGGCGCGCGCGGGTCGACGGGGCCAAACGGGGCCTCTAAGCGGGGCGCGCGCGGGTCGACGGGGCCAAACGGGGCCTCTAAGCGGGGCGCGCGCGGGTCAACGGGGCCAAACGGGGCCTCTAAGCGGGGCGCGCGCGGGGTCGACGGGTCAAGCGGGGCCGTAAGCGGGGCGCGTGCGGGTCGACGGGGCCAAACGGGGCCGTACACGAGGGCGCACTAGGGCGCTGAAAGGGGGAGGCGCTAACGCAGCACTCCGACAGTAGATAGGTAGGTAGGTATTCAGTGGTGGGCCCTAAGAACGGTCCTAGCGAAGGACCTGCTCTGAAACCATGTCAAAATAAGAGACTGGAATGACTGTACTAACAGAAGGATGGATACAAATAGGAAACCCTAATCCAGTGTACCCCCTAAGGTATCACCCACTACTGCCTACAATCATATAAACATATAATGTTTGACAGTGATGACGTCAGCACTACCGGCGGCTTTGTCGTAACTCGCCGAGGCATTTGTCGAGATTCTCCAAAAACTCCCGAGCAGAGGTGAAAAATAGCTGCCGCTCCTCCCCCTTACTTCCGAAATATTTTTCCGAAGTCGAACTTGAACTTCAGATGACGTCAGCTTCACTGTCGGCATTGTCGTACTCACCGAACACTCTCGGGCACGAGTGAAAACAGTTGTCGTCTTCTCCCCCCACCTGTTGCAAAAATTCTCCCTCGTGTTGTGTCTGGTACCCCTAAACAGCTTCGGAATTGTACGGCTACTCATTTTTACAACGGTGTTTTCGTGCGCTTAATCAAGCACCGCTGCAACTCCGCCGTTGGTACGGATCTATCGGCTTCACCAACGACTCCGCTAAAACTCATCCTCGGAACTGCTCGTGGCACCCGTAATTGTCGGAAACGAAAACCACACCACGTAAATCTTGGTCGCCCGCAGGTTGTCCTCCAAAAAGAACCGGTGTTTCTAGCACGCCCACCCGGTCACCATTTTTTTCGTGCGGTTTACCACATCGACAATCCACCAATAGGGGGTGCCTCTAGTATGGAACCCATTACTTATGGGTATTCCGAGACTGATTTTCACAGACCCTACCGCGCATCAACGCCGCAAATCTCGCCGTAGAACTTCCCCTGGTAACTGATGAAGTACACTGTAAAACACTTAAACAACTGGCGATCAGACGTTCACCCGTCTCCAACCGTAGGAATTTCGCCTGAAAATCATGGTTGCAACAACAAGTCTCGAAGTCTTTTCCACCGAGTAGCTCCAGCGTTTTCGCGGTGCTCTGACGTTCACCCATCTTCACACCCGCCAAAAATCCACGAAGCAGATCCTAGGTATCCTTAGTGATGCACGTCTCCCCAGCGCCTCTTTTTCGTAAAACTCGAACCGTCAGGCGTCTCCAAGTAGACCCTGAATTCACAGAGAAGTCGTGCACGGGCTCAACCGCGCTCAAGAAACTTGAAAGAACACCCACGACTTTCCCTCCAATTCTTTTTTATCTTCACCCCGCGACAATTGGCTTGCCGCCGTTCACCCAGCGTCCGCTTTTGTCAAATGAGTTATTGCTCGTTGTTGCCTGCAATTTCTCTTAAACTCGGTGAAGGCACGAACGCTATCGTAGTTGGAGAGTGTTCATCATATTAAACGCTGAGGTCGGCCGCTTCGCTGCCCACCTCGTCTATCGCGCTTAAAAAAACTCCATAACTTCGGGAACCCCGTCTTCGCCGCTACACCGTCGTCGGGTAGACCGTTAAACTAGGAGAAACTCCCGCCACGTGCCACAATTTTTTCAACTCCAACTATTTCGGCAGGGTAATTGGTCGCCGAAGTCCCGCTTTTGTCGGAGTCGAAACAATGATGCGCCACTTTGAAACATTTTCTTCACGCCCAACTGTTCAACTTGCGCAATATCCGCGCATATGAACTAGCACAGGGGCTAAACATAGGGCTCCACCTTTTCATCCAGGGCCAATAGGTCTTACATTTCGCCTTCGAAGCCTCTGGTGTGAGAAATGTGAGCCAGAAACCTCGGCCGGTAGTGATACCCATCCTGCTGTTCTCGAGCTGGAACCCCACTGTCGCGATCCGATGAAGACGCTTATCGTCGAAGAAAAAGAAGAATTGGCGTGCTGTGAAGCCGAGGAGCTGTGTCGCAAGAGCATCACCGAAGTGCACGTCACTTCTGCTTGCAGTGCTTAGAGCGAATCCGACGACGACGGCGCTTCCAATAAAGGGGGGTGGGGAAGCAACAATGGCTGGGGATTTACCAGTGGCGGAACCTTGGCCAACACCGGCGGAACCTGGGCAACCGCATGCAACGATTGGGGCACCACGACTGGCGGATGGGGCAGCAGCAGCAGCTGGGACGCTTCGCGCGACCAAGAAGAACAAAAGGGGGGAACCAAAGACACAGATCCACAAGTTTTTCCCCTCAGTTGCCCTACGCACTTGCCTGCACCACCGCTGCTCACCGCGGACATCCTGCGTTACAGTGACCCCTTGGACACGATCGACTGGGGTAATGAACCATCGACCCCATGATGCACCGTATATGGCCCCGATCCCGAGCCACGCGAACCCATACTCATCTTCGGAACCATCCATGAGACAAATATCCCATTCTCCCTCATCCGTGACAGAGATTTTCTTGTGCTAATGCTTACGCGGCGAATAACGAAGCAGGAGAAGAAGAAGCACTGCAATGGCCGTCCCCACACCTGAAGAAGACCCTAACAAGGTGTGCGCGCGTTATCAGCGCACCTTCGGACTTCGCTCACCTCATGACGTGTGGCATCAGCGCCTCAGTCACCCCTCTCGCGTAACGATGAACAACTGCATCGCTGCAGAAGTCTTCATGCCTGGCGTAATCTTGCCCCCCCACGGCTCTGAGAGAAGAAGCACGTCGTAGCCACACACCTACATCGTCTGCCCCGAAGCTGCACTTAGCCATCAACCGTTCCCACCTTTGAAACCTAGAACCAACCGCTACCCAAAGTTGCACAAGTTATACAGGGATTTCTTGTCGACGACCACGGCGGGCTGTCAGAATTCTCAGGGTTACGCCTAAGAAGTACTGACAGAGGGTGTAGATGAGGAGGTTGGGGGGGAAAACTGTACATTTGTATATAGTCGGAGCACGCAACAGAGGAGAACCGTAAAGGCAGGGGCGAAGTGGGTCGGGCAACTCGCCAGTGTGACAACACCAGAGGAACATTGGTGTCGGATGGCGAACTGAGCTGGAAAGGGGAATGGTAACTGGGTTGGCAGCGAGGTGACGTGGAGAGTGATTGCGAATGCTCTTGTGTGTGATGTGCATGCGAATGTTTCTTTCCCTGCTTGCAGACACCGAGTTGTTGCCAGCTGGAAGTCATTGCTGCCAGCTGGCGGTAGGCAGAGTAGCAAACAGGATGGCAAGCTAGGTTGCTAGCAGTAGCAAGCAGTTGTTTGTCTGTTAGCAATGCCAAGCTAGGGTTAGAGCAAAGAAGCTCGAAGGAGGGTCCTGGTCCATGGGACTGCCACTGCGTGTTTGTTTTCGCAAATTACTGAAATTTCTTTCCCAAGTTAAGCAGTGTGCAGCGAAGCCATAGCCGCAGTCAGAATGAGTTAGGAAGGGTCAGAGCAGAACGAAAGCGGAGGCAAAGGCAAGGAGAAAGTGGGGTAGAGAGAGCAGAGAAGACAAGAGGAAGGGAGGAGAGGAGGGCATGAGAGCAGACAAGGAAGGGGGCTGGTGAGGAGAGCAGATGCATGAGGAGGAGGGTAAGAGGATCAGGAAGAGAAGTTGCTCAGAAATGAGAGGGCAGTAAGGAGGTTTCCGACAAGGCTCAACGATGAGGGCTGCACGCTTACCTTCGTGGACGCGGGAACCCGCTACGTCTCGGTCGCAAACGTGCAATTCCGCGGCAGAGCTTACAAAGCTTTCCGCCTCTGGTTGGCTCGCATGTAGCGGCAGTCAGGAAAGAAGCTGCAGACCTGGCAAACTGACAACGCAGCAGAGTTTAGGTATGAGAAACTGGCCCGGCCCGACCCGACCCGACCCGACTTTGCCGGGCCACCCGGGTTCCCAGGTCGGGTCGGGTCGGGCCAGACTCGGGCCAAGCTGCTGGAGGTTCTGACTCGACCCGGGTCTACACACTCAGGTCAGCATTGAACCGGCCCCAGGTCGAGTCAGGTCGGGCCAGGCTGACCAGCCCCTAAGACGTGGATATTAACGCTCGAGGCCTTAAGACGTGGCTTGCTTGCAGAAAAGTGGTTTTGCGCAAGGAGTACTACACTATCTAGAAGCGCAAACAACCTAATGT